AAAAGTTTCAGTTTTTTGACATACTTTTTGTACTATTGCCAAGTTCTATGAGCGTGTGCGATACTCTGTGCAGTAATACCTCTATATACTATCAGCTCTTTCTTGTTCTTTACTCATTCTAGGCACGCTTGTTTTTATAGTTTAATAATTTGTAGCATTTTAATAAGTCTACTAATATTAGAAAAATAGCATTTTTCTCTCTAATGAGGATCCATGATTCATTATATTAAATTTACGTCCAATTAAATTACAGATTTGTGTGAGATATCTGGACATGCACTCTGAATGTAATTGGTAATACATTTTAGGGCACCAATTAGGAAATGTGATAATATTATAGTTAATGGAGCTAAGAGATGTAGAGGCAGACCTAAAAGAACAATGTTGGAAACAACTAAGAAGGATATGCTTATGGCTAACTTAGTTAAAGGATAGAACAGAATGGAAGAATAGAACAATGTTGCAGTTTCTGTCAAAACGATAAGATATAAACGAACAGCGCAAGAACAAGCACAGCATCGAAACGGAACCACCATTGAAAACTTCAAACGCCATCAGTTAAAGGAGCACATACCAGCAGCCTTCAGCAGCAGAACCGAAGCCGGAGGAGTCTTCAAAATAAAAGTGAAGCTCTTATCCTGCCCAAAATAAACAAACCAGCACAAGCAAGTCGAGCAATCACCGGCATTCCAAGAAAGAGAAAATTAAGATTAAAAAGGAAAAAAAAAACCCCATTTCCCTCACTCACATCATACACCGTGATCTCAACCGGAATCACGTATCCGGCCTTATCCGCAGTCTTGGCGTTGTACTCCTTGCAGAAGGCCATGATGTTCACACCCTTCGAACCCAACGCCGGGCCCACCGGTGGGGCCGGCGTCGCCTTTCCCGCTTCCAGCGCGAGCTTTATAAGTCCAACCACTGAAAACCACAAGAAATTTCAACAATTTGAATGGGGGGGGGAGGTGGGGAATCAGGATAGAAATTGGATAGAGAGAGGGAGTACCTTTCTTGGTTTTGCCCCCGGGTTTTGGGGCCATGGCTTTGATTGTTAGAGGTCTGCGGGGGGAGTTGGGGCGGGAGTGGGGTTTGAGGAAAGAAGGGGTGAGAACAGAGGAGGAGGAAGGAGGGAGGAAGGAGGAGGAGAGCTGGGTTCTTCTTGTTTGGAGGAGGAGGGGAGAGAGGGAGGGGGACGGCGAAATGGAGGCCAACATTAGAGACGATAGGGAAGAAGGGGAGCTTGAGGATAATCGAGGAGGAGGGAGGGTGAAGAGATAAAGCGAGTAGTCTTATTTGGGCCCTGCCCGTTTCCAGCTCAATAGTGAGAGTAGAGGTTTGGGCCTTTTCCATATTGGTTTTCTTTAGCTGGGTAGCTTCTCTGCCTTCTAGAAAAATAAGGCCGAGTTGGGGGCTATGCCGTAGGGGTTGGGCCATCATTACCCAATTTAAACGGGAAACTAAGGGCCCACTTGATTACTTCCTTTCCAAGTGAAATAGGAATATGGGGGTTTCCAACGCCAGAAAACGTTTTTATCAGCCAAGAAGGAACAATTGATTATTATCAGTCAAGAAGAAACAACTGGAACGCCTTGAGAAAGATGACACCCAAAAAAAAGAAGGAACAACCGGAAAATTAGCGAGGATTTGAAAGAAATTGCAGGCGCAGACAACCCTAGCCCGTATATTCGAGATGAAACCCAACCCCGTTTTCCTTCAAAATTTTGGGTTGATTTTGGGGATTTGATCAAATAATTTTCGGCAAAAGAAATATGATAGCTCAGTAATGATGGTGCCGGTGAAGGAGGGAGACGGATAAAAAGGGCAGTGATCCCAACTTTTTTCAATTCTTACCGCTAGAAAATCCTAAAACTATCACCCAGATTTTTTTATTATATTTTAACTCACTTTTCGCCCATTTCTCCTTTAAAAACTTGGACTTGGTTTTCTATTTCTGATGCCATTTTCTGATTTAGAAAGGTTTTAGAAAGCTTTTTAGAGGACCTAACAGAGAAATATGAATCCTTAACTTTTTGACCCATGAAAAACAGTGTCGTCAGTTTTTCACGTGTTTTCACCTAATTTCTTCGAACCAGATAGGCTCTAAGGCCCCGTTTGGTACGCGGGAATGGGGGTGGAATAGAATGTCATTCTCACTTTTCATTCTCTCGTACCAAACAAAACTTGTTATTAGATGTTGGAATGACCATTCCCATGGAATGACCATTCCCACCTTTTGTGGGAATGGACATTCTAAGTGAGAAAATATGGAATGATCATTCTCATTCAAGGAAGAATCAAATTAGTTAGGTTTTTTTCAATTATACCCCTATTAATAATAAGAATCAATTTAAAAATCATGGCTTTTGACTATATTCTCATTTTCTCTCGGCTACTAATTATATTCAAACAATAGGAATTTTTTTGCGGGGTAGGGATTAAAACTAGTGATACATATTTCAGTAGCATATTAAAACTAGCGGTACATATTTTATTAGCCTATTATATCACAATTGCTCAATATAGGAGCAACACAATTTAATATAAAAACAGATACAACTGAAACTATATATTATTTGCCGATTGAAATTCAATTTAATATAAAAACAGATACAACTGAAACTATATATTATTTGCCGATTGAAATTCTTTCATGTCAAATTTTTTTTTTTTGGTCAATCAAAATTTTTTGTTTATTCACCATTGTTTAAAGTCTGTTATTTTCACCAGCATATTATATTTTTTTTGAACTTTTGCTATTATTTTCCCACCATCAAGAACTATATGTACCCATTGCGTACATGTTTGATTGTGGTTCATGCACAACAATAAATCTAACTTTTGATTGAAAAATATTTGACCCAATATTTATGAAAAGAGGAAACTCTCGCTGAGAAATTGGCCAAAATATTAAAATTATCAAAACCATATCATGTCTAGACTATATATAGAGGTATAAGGGCATTATTATAACACATATCTAGATTAATATAACATATGCAGAAATAGTGAGAATTATTTAAAAATATAAACGAAACATACACCTGATCGATAACATGCGCATTAGTATAACACATACCTAGATTAATATAACATATGCATAAATAATATTTTTTAGTTATTATCATTAATATTTATTTTTATCTTATTAAAAATCTATGTTGTTATAAGGGAATTATTAGAAAATGAGATTTCATTCTCACTTGTGAACTAGTGATACCAAACATGGGAATGAGAATTAGATTTTCATTCTAGCTTCATTCTACAAACACACTCAAACAAGAGAATGGGAATGACCATTTCATTCTCACATACATTTCATTCCATTCCTTCTTCCATTCCATTCTCACTTGAGTTTATTCCCACGTACCAAACGAGACGTAAATGAGAAGTTGATTAAAAATTGAGAAATGTTATCACTTTCTATATTTTCCCCATGTTTAGAACATCTAAAGTGGTTGGAAAATCAAAAGTGTCATGTTAGCTTTTTGACATCCTTCGCTTTCTAATAAAATGGGAGAGAGTGAATGGAAAGTGAAGAGATAGAGGAGAGAAATTAGTTTTTAATTGTTTTTTTGGTAAATAGTTTTTAATTGTTTTCAAATCTTTTGTTTGATTTTTTTTTTCTTTTTTTTCTTCTTATCATATTATTGCCGCCAACTTCGTTCCCTTAGAGCATCTCCAACCGATCTTCAAAAACCCAAAATGACGCAAAATTTCCGCCAAATGTTCCTCCAACCAGGCGAAAAACGTAGCGCCGTTTTGATGAGGTGCTACGCCAAATCTGGTGTAGCACTGTAGCTTTGGCGCAGGATTTTTTTTTTTTTTTGGTTTTTTATTTTTAGCCTTTTACTTTTTTAATTATTTAGATAAAAATAATAATACAAAATAACTTAGCACATAATTTATAAAATATCCCTTTCATTACACAATAATTTATATTGTATTATTATTTTTTATAATAATAAATAATAATACAACATAAAGTAATATTTTAACTTGATTAAGTATTATTTTTATATATGTATTTTATTCATAAAATATTTTATTATAATTAATTATATGTAATGTATTATATAATTATATAATATATAATTTGTTAAATATTTTAAATAGATAAAAATTTTAGAAGATAAGAATCATAATAGGAATATTCTTTTTAGTGTAAAATTTGGTGTAATGGGTTGGAGATGAAATAGTGATTTGATATAAAAACTACATTAATTTAGTGCAAAAACTACACTATTTTGGGTTTTTGGGTTGGAGATGCTCTTAGTCATCCCACGGCAAAATATTCCCCAACCTCCTTTATATAGGCATCCTTCCACTCTAATTTTGGATTTTTTCAAAGGGAAAAAGGTAAAGAATTAAATAATATATGCACATTGTTAGGGGTGTCCAAAAAGCCCGTCGGCCCGGGCCTGGCCCGGAGCCCGGCCCGACCCGGCCTCGGCCCGGAAACCCGGACCAAGTCCGGGCTCCATATGTATATATAATATATTTCTATATATGTATAATATGTCATATGTGTGTATATATATACTCTCTCTTAGTATATAAGTATATATATGTATAAGTATATATAAGTATACTTTCTCTTATATAAGTATATATAACAATACTCTCTCTTATATATATATAATGTATGTATATATATACTCTCTCTCTTAGTATATATGTATATATAAGTATACTCTCTCTTATATATGTATAATATGTGTGTGTGTATACTCTCTCTTTTAGTATATAAGTAAGTATATATAAGTATAGTATATTACAACGGCTACTTCTTCCACATTGGCCCAACGGACAACGACTACTTATGTATACACTCTCTTATATATGTATAATATGTGTGTATATATATTAGGGGTGAGCACGGTTCGGTTCGGGTCGGTTTTTACCAAAATTTGAACAACCGAACCGAACCACCTATAATTCAAAACCGAACCGAACCGTTGCAAATCGGTTCGGTGCGGTTCGGTTCGGTTTGTTCGGTTCTAACTTCATCAAGTAATATAACAATCAAAGGCATAATATTGCTTGTCCCAAAAGTTTATATCCAAGCATCCAAGCAAATAAACACAGCAGCAAGTTGTTAATATTGGTTTTTTAAAAGCAAACACAGCAGCATAATCTTTACTTGAACCGTATGGACTTAGCCTAGATTCATCTTTATACAGTACCCCCAAGAAAAAAATGTTTATGCATCTGTTGGAATTTGGATCTCCACAAAAATTTCAGAACAAAAAAAGCATCCGTTCAAACAAAGAATCCGTCGAGTAAAAAAATCATGACCAAACCAAATTGAACTAACAAAGTTTTCAACCCGACAATTTGGTCCTGAGCAAATTGAACTAACAAAGCTATAATACTTTGAAAAAAAGATTTCGAGTTCAGAAGCTTGGAACAATTGAACTAACAAAGCTATAAATTTGATTTCTCCAGAGCAATGAAAAAAAGATACATGATAAATTAACAAAGCTATAATACTTTGAAATCTAGATATAAACAGAAGCTATAATACCTCGGCGACGGCGACGGGTGCGGATGCCCCCCCCCATGACCGGAGATAGATCCTGAGCTGGAGATGGATCCTGAGCCGGAGATGGATCCATAAAGAGTTGAAGACTAAGGAGGCGGACGACAGACTGGGAGAGAAAATTGGGAACGAGGGCGGCGGTTGGGAGTCTGGGAAATGAGGTTAGGGTTAGAAACTTAGAGTTTTGATTTTGGGTGTTTGGGGACGGGTCGGGTTACGGGTATACGGGAGTTTGAGGATTAGGGAAACGGGTCGGTTCGGTCGGGTCGGTTTGGGAAGTTTTTAACCCGACCCGAACCAACCAATTCATAAAACCGCCATTTGCCCAACGGGCAATGACTACTTGCGATTCTCTCTCTCTCAAGTTATAACTTATAAATATATACAATATATTTACATATAATATATGTATATATAATATATAGTTACATAATAATTTGTAAGTATATACTAATACATAATTATATAAAATATAATAATTTTAAACTATTTTTAGCATTTTTTAATCAAAAAAAAAAGAAAAGAAAATATATTTAAAAAAACCTAGTTGGGAATCTTGGGATGTACTTATCTATTGTGATGCGATAAATTCCAAAATAAATTTATACTTGTAATTTATAAATTATTTATTAATTATTAATAAAGAATTTATTTTTATAATTTTTTATTTGTAATTTATGTTATTTTAAGTGATTAATAAAATTATTGTTTTTTATTAATTTTTTTGTCTTTTTTTATATAATTTAAATTTTAAA